ATGACTCAAATACGTTTTGTATAACACAAAATAATGCAATTTAATATTTAGAAATCACTATAATTGATCATTCCTATGTTAGTCATTGAGTAGATTGTACTGTAATAATCTACTAATAGCAGTAATATCATGGATACACTAGATGTACAGCAACATCTGAAAAAATTCACCCCACTCTAGAAAATAACTTCAGTTTGTGGCGAATATTGCTTAATGTATTTGCTATATAAGTTTCAGGGATGCTCAATGCATAGTTTTACGAGTATATTTACAGGGAACACATTGTACAACGATATTTTAGTGGATGAGATGTTTCGCTCCTATTTTATAGATAATAAGTAATAAGATTTTGTATTTTGTAAATAAAAATTTTAACAAAATTAGGTAATGTGTTTTATTGATGAGTCAGATTAGTGTAGATAGGAACAAAGCAGTATAATACAATAGCACCACGCTGAGGAAGAATAGATAATGACGGTATTCAATGAACAATAGATAAGTAGATAATAACAATGGAGCGCTAATGACGGTGGAGGCCCGCACCGGATATCAATTAGATAAGAGTTAATTGATCTGCACATCTCCGGAACCGTGCATCCTACGCAAAAATGGACCGCAGATTCGTGATCAGAGCATGCCAAAACCTATCTCTTTTTTTTAGGATCGTGAGTCGACGAACGTTGTACTTGTACCACTTCTGACTCAGTGCGCCAGAACTGGTACAACGTAACTACTAACGCTAACTGCTTTGAAATGTAATTTTGTAATTTAGAGAGTCAAATAAATTATTATTATTATTATTTTTCACGTAATTCTAATTATTTTTCTAAAATAAAAGTAGCCTAAGTTACTTTTTATAACATTATCTATATTATATGTACAACATAAAAAGCGACAGTAGCCTAATAGCAGTAAATAGCATTCTCGTCATCTGGTATTGACCAGAATTGAAAGCAGTAAATTTTTGACAACTTTTATCTAAATTAACATTGTAATACCCTTGATATAAATCTAAAAGTGTAAAATATACTTTTCCAGACAAAGATTCTAAGATTTCTGTAATATCAGGGAAGGGGTATACTTATCGTCCTCTATAGTATTTGATTTGCGGTAATCCACTACCAATCGCCATTTTTTATTACCCGATTCATCTAATTTTTTAGGCACCAATAATATTGGGCTAGACCAGTCACTTTTACTAGGTTCTATAATCCCTTCTTTAAGTATGTTGCTAATTTGACGATTAATTTCCTTTTTATGACTAATTGGTAACCTATAGGGTTTTGAAAACACTGGACTAAATTTTTGTTTCAAAAAAATATTGTGAGTGTAAATATCTGGAAAATAATCGTTTTACTCGGTCTGAATTATTCTCATTTTTCTCAAAACTACAAATATTATAATCGTTAAGGTCATGAATTGCAGGATTTATTCCTGACAATGTTACTGATTTTTCGGTAACATTTAATATTTTTATTGGTATTTTTCCCCTAATTGCCCCTAATTGTCGCTATCAAACTAGCCAAATAAACGCCATCTTGTAATTCTTGTGAACAAATAATGCAATCGGTTTGAAAATCAGTTTGAATATAATGTATGGATTCACTTCTTGGGGGAATTTCCAATATGTTAATATTATAATTATTAGTGAAAGGCAAGAAACAAGTGTGGCTTGACCCTAACTTCAAAGATAAAATATTTTTCTCGAAATCTAAACATGCTCCAAATCTATTCAAAAAGTCTCTACCTAGAATTCCATGCGACGAAATTGGTAACGAATTAAAAACAAAGAACTTGTGATTAATAACAGATCCATGAATCATTAATGGAACATAAACATATCTGATTGTTTGCACCTCGCCACCTAGACCGTTTATAATTACATTCTCTTTATGTAATGAAACACTTAATTCGATAGCATGTTTATATGTTACGGCGGATAAAGATGCGCCCGTGTCGACTAAGAAAGAATAAGTTTTACTGCATGGTGAAACTGGTAAATGAATAAAACAATTCCTATTACTACTAGCCAAAATTAAATGATTTTTTTATTCTAGAAAAAACTTATCTAGTCGGGGTTCATTTGAAGTTGATGAATCATTATATTGACTATATTTCTTTTTATCCCTTGATTTCCGCGATAATTACGAAACGTACCTACCTCGCTTATATCGTTCTCGCTGTCCTTGGCCACGTGAGTTTGAGTGGTTCTATAAACTCGATCGCTGCGAGTTTTCATGGTAGTGTCCTCGCTGTGAAAACATTTGCCGATTCCGCCCGTTGCCGCGTGGGTACCTAGAATTATGATGAAAATTCCTAGGATAATAAAGTTTCTTACTGGACATACCCATCACCTCTCCTGCGGCCGATGATGATGAAGTCTCTTCATCTTGAGCTGCTTGAATGGCATCTTTCAGAGAACTGTAATTTCTAGCAGAAATTATTGTGCTGATTCGACGATTTCGTAAGCCATCGGAAAATTGCTTGATCGCTTGTTTTTCATTAACAGTTTTCAAAATATTGTAATATTCGGTATTACCGTTGGCTTGCGATATCGTAAGGTCCACAAATAACTCTGTTATTTGTTTTCCATAATCAGCAATTGACCTATCATTTTGGCGTAATTTTTGCAATTTATTTTGAATTGCTGCTGCTCCTTTTCTTGGCAACAACTTTTTCTGCATGTCACTAACCAAGTCTTCAACATTAGAGTAGTCGTCTTGAAGACGTAATTTAGCAGATTGAGATAATCTACTTTTGAATATGAATTTAATTAAATTCTTTTTTGCATTCCTGTTTTGTTAACAAAGAATTATAATACTGAATATTGTCTACTAATTGTTTCACACTTGTTTCATCATCTGACATAACAGGTAGTAAAGTCAAAGCCGTGTTTAAATCGAAAGTATCTATATTGCTCGGATTTTCAGATTGTACACACTCGGGCTTACGCAATTTTATAATATCCTGATATAATGATTCAAAATTCTTACAATAGCTTTGATAAGGTGGAATATCGGTAGATTTAATCTTACATTCCTTTACCTTACTATTAAAATTTATTAACAACTTAGAATAGTCACTAAATATTTCATTGGCCTCTTTAAGTTTAGTATCTAAAACTTTTCCTTCACGTCTACTCGGTTCAATTTTAATTAAATATGTTCTCACATCTTTTAATTTCTCATATAAGTGATCTAAAGAAATATTCCTAACTTACCACCAATACGTAGAATAGAGTATACTATAAATAATTTTACGAAATTTTTAATATAATAATAATACGGTTAAATGACGATTACAGTACAACGAATACATGATTTAATTCAAAATATAAAGTTCAGTAATATAGACTAGAGTCCCAGATTAATGTAGTTGATTTATAAACACAATACCCTTTTTTTGCACTATTAATAGACACGCACTTTTTACTCATTTTATATGCACGTAAACGCCACTTTTAAACTTCGATCAGCGCCGGTCATACTTTATAATACGCCCTTGGTTGACTTGCCTCTTCCACATTTGTGGGGGGTTGTGGTTGCCGAAAAATAGACCTTCTTAGGGTATTTCTGTTTATCTCTGTGTTAATCCACTTTATATGACATCGCCTATATGTCCGATACAAGCAATATAGGGACCCCAGTAGAAGTACCAGCATAATGATAGACAGCAAAATATTACTCATAGTCAGGTGAAATTGCAATTGTTCAACTCCTGCCTTATTGCTTCCCACTGCGTTTTGCACAATTACGGTCTCTTCTTTAGTCTGTTTACCGCCCATCTTGGATGTTATTTTTCGTTAACTTTTTGTTAAACACGTGTACACAGTCACGCAGCTCACGATAGAACGCCATAGCTTGATTTAAATCATCAGTTGCACACAGCGACAGCATCACTCTAAATACGGCGGATTGTGTCATATTCGCGTCGCGAATTTTTTTTTTGAGTTAAACAAACGGATGATGATATAAGACTCTCTTTCTTGTATTAATAAATTTGATTATATAGGATTACTATTACACTTGTGTGTGTACTTTTATATACTCTTACTACTACTACTACTACACACCGAACATTAGTTAAAGTGGTACTCAATGTGTCCCTTGTATTGAAATGTGCGAATTGAGTAATGCCATGTCTTTCATAATTTTACTGTTGAAAGTATATTTTATTTAAGGGTTAAATCTCTATTTTTTTCTATAGAATAGGGTGATAAACAAGCACACAGTCCACCTGATGGTAAGTGGTTGCTGCGTCCTATAGACATCTACATCTTTCGTCGGTTACAAATCAAAATGCAGATGCGTTGTCACCCGTCAGGACTAAGATGGAATGCCTTGTTTCCAGTAAAATGGGTCTCCGGTTCTCTACATTCACCATACGACATACAGCAGCATTAAGCTACTACACTCAGCGTCACAAAAATCGCACCTCTCTCAGTTTGCGCGATAAATGTCTGTAATGGCTAAATTAAGCTACTATTTCACGCTGGTATTCTGTGAGAGCGTGGTCCTTCCCCGGTCGAGCCGACCCATTCGTGCTACAACTATACTACTAATGTACTGCAGCATGGCTCTACCACGTAATTACTTATACGTGTAATTACTCTAATTATCAATTTTTACTAAGAATAACACACCGAAATACCTTTTTTTCTCACAAAAATAGTCAAAACATAAGAATGTGCCGGCAATTTGCTCAGTACTATATTAGGATGCAATAACATGTCGGGTGTGGCGGGGAGCAAGGGGCAGGGTCTGGCGCTAATCTCGCGCGCTTTACGATAGCAAGTTTCGACATAATAAATAAATTGGTTAGGTACCGAGGTGATCCTATCGAATAATGTTCGTCCGAATATTCGGTTCGGTAAAAGTTTTACCTAACTTTCGGCCGAATATTCGTATTCAATGAAATCTATATTCGGCCCGTATTACTATTTACGCCACACCCGATATATAAAGTACAGATGTGAGTGATTAATGAGCGAAGTGATTTAGGTTTTGGAAGAAGATGTTTGTGCGGCTGGTGTACCAGGGAGACACGCCGGTGCTGCAGCTGCTGGGATCTGCCACCGACAAGGAGCCGCTGCAAGAGCTGCCCCTGCAGGCCTGCTATTCGGTCTCTGACATCGGCGCTCAGCAGTTCGACCAGTTCGGCAAGATATTCACCGTTAAGTTGCAGTACGTCTTCTACAAGGAGCGACCTGGAGTCAGGTGTGTTATTCACTATAACTTCACTTAAATTTTTTTAAGAATAAAGGTGACAAACTAGCACACAGTCCTAACAGTAAGTGGATACTGTGGCCCATAGATATTTAGATCTATCCTCGGCTAAGAATAAAAATGCTGCACCCCTGAGGATTAAAATGAAATAACTCGTATCCAGTATACAGGGTTTCCGTTTCTCTACACACATCATACCAAACATTGAGCTATTATTTTACGCTGGTATTCTCTGAGAGCATGGTCCTACCCAGGTTGAGTCGACCCATTCGTGCGCCTAAACCATAATATAGCTGCAACATGTTAAACAAATAAATATATAAGTGTTGATATGAGTGAGCGGTGTGGCGTGCGCGCAGACCGGGGCAGGTGACGAAGGCGGAGCGCATCACCAACAAGCTGTCGCAGTTCGCAGCGTACGCGATCCAGGGAGACTACCAGGGCGTCAAGGAGTTCGGCAGCGACCTGCGCAAGCTCGGCCTGCCCGTAGAGCACGCGCCGCAGGTACACATACACGCGCACACACAAATACACACACACACACACACACATACATACACACACACACACACGCACGCACGCACGCACGCACGAAACACACACACACACACACACACACACACACACACACACACACACACACACACACACGAGCACGCACGCACACGTACACTAACGCATACTCCCACGCACACGTACACACGCACACGTATTGTTATATGAATGGAAGGCACTAATGTTGCACTAGGCCATCAATGTGTTTGCAGCGATTTATGTACACGTGTGTGTGCACATGCACCTAAGTGATTGCCCTGAACACAGTGCACTACTTAATATATTGTTGTAATAGCAACTAATGTAACTGACTTTTATTTTGTAAATAAAATATTTATATAAATATATATAATAATCGTCTCTAATCTTCGTACGATTTGTGCTTTTCCATGTTAAAATAATTGGAATTTTATGTATTTTAATTAAGAGATAAGAGAAAAAAAACTTAACCCAGCAAATAACATTTGACTTTAAAACAAGGATACAAGCAACAATAAAACCAAAAAAAGTTACTTATTTTTATGTTCACTGGCTTAGTAACTGCACTAATTTACTGTAAATCACTCACTTATATGTAATGTTAACTATTAAATAAATACACTTTAAGCTTAAAATACTGTGTTAGTAATATTGTTTTGATATTAGTAATATTAGTATATATGTAACAAAAACAGCTCATCTCTGCACGAACGAGTCCGTGACGTCTCTTCAATTAATATGCCGTCACATATCGCGCTGCTTCCGCAAAACCCGACAGTTGAAACACATTAACTTTTTTCTTTCAAAAATTTGTATCATTTAAATGACAGTTAGTATGCCTTAGAACTTTTGCTTATTAAAACAATACAAAATGGGTTTTAGATACGGATGGAATTTGGAAAATATTAAATATAACATAAAAATTCGTTTAAACTGTAAACCTTTTTATTGGAACTGAATAACCTCTTACGCTAGCCGTAGCAGCCTATCAAAAGTACAATTAAAAACTAGGGCTACATCACCACTTACCACCAGGTGGGATTGTGATCAAGCACTGGCTTAAAACAAGTTACAAACAGCCCACTGCTGGACATCGGTCTCCCCTATAGATATCTGCCACAGTTGTCGTACTTGGCAGACGGGTTGGCAACCGCATTGCTTTTTAATCCCATTTTCTGGTTTGTTGTCCTCTATCGACTATTACGACGCCCACTTGGTATAGGCCAATCATCACTACACGGTCCAGATATGTCATGGAGTTCATTTTTAGTAGCAGCCCGGAGACTGTTTCGCCCCCGTCTCTTGGAAAACACATAAGGTCGTTGGTCCTGGGTTTGATCTTCGTCGATGACCGTTCGGGTCACATGACGGAACGGATGGCTGGTCTCCGTTGAAACCGGCCGCTGTGACCAAAATTCGGTCTGGACGACATTAT